TCTCCTTGCTCTCCCATGCCGTCAAAGGTTGGCTTTACAGTGTAAGGCAAGTTCATTTTTTGCGATGCTGGCGGTGATGGTGATGCGCCCTTTCTTGTGTGCCCTGCTGTTTTTGCGCTCTGCTGCTGCTTTCCTAATTCCGCGTGTGCGGCGGATGATACAGCTGCTAATACCACTGAGGATGTCAATGCTTCGGCGATACCGACTAATATGAAAGAAGCTTTTGACTGGGCATTCAAGGCGATGTTTAAGGCGCGGGAGGAGGTGGATGAGGCCAGCCAGCATTGTGTGCAAGCTAAACTAAGTGCGGCGAAGGCAGCTGGGCTTGAGAGAGAAGCAGAGATGGCTTTAAAAAAGCTTGGCGCGGAGGCTATGACACTGAGCAAGGCATTACGAGATGCGAGGGGAGCCAACAATGAAGCTAAGGCTGCCGTGACCGAATGCGAGGCTGCAGAGGAGGCCGCACAACAAGCAGAGATTGCGACGCTCGATGCCGCATACGAGGTGCTGAACCAAGTTAAGGCCGATAAGAAGGATAAGAATTCCAAAACAGAGGGTCTATTGGACAAGGCGGCAGAGCATACTGCAATTGCCGTAAAGAAGGCAAGGGAGGCGGAGGCGGAGTCTGAGAAGGCGGCAGCGGCGGCGCGGAAAACCCTGGAAGCAGCAGAGAAGGCAGCAGCGGCGCGGACTTTGGCACAAGACGTTGCCGCAACGGCCAGTGCGCTGCTGCGGCAGCGGGAGAGGGAGGAGGAGAGACGAAGAGCGAAGGACCGGGAGGCGGCGGAGGCCGCGAAAAAGGCTGCCGTTGCTGAGGTGATGAAGAAATTTGCTGCGAAGAAGGGGAATGACGCGGCGTCTGGCAGGAATTCCACAGCCACCCGCATTCAAAGGACGAGACCGCGGGTGGATGGCGGCGGCATTCCATTGCTTTTGCGTGCACCGCTTCTGATGCTTGCTGCCGTGGCATCCGTTTTCGGCTTCTTATTGTGCTAGGCGGCGTAACCGAGGCGATGACGTGCTGCCCAGCGCGGTGAGTCCATTTGTTCTAAGACCTTTTTTTTTTTTTACTTTTGTGGTTTTTTGGGGACTCTCTCTCTTATCAGCGTCTCTATTACAAGGGTGTTTTTTTTTTTTATTGTGGGAAGTGAGTGGGAATTATTGGCTCCCCTTTATCCGCTCTGCACGCCGAGGCGTACATCTTTTTCCGCAAGCCGTGCGAGATTCTTATCAATTTCATCTATTCTTAAATACATAAGAGTATGTATATGTATATGTATATCAAATAAACGCGAGTCATCTTTCCCCCCCCCCCCCCCCACTATTTGCTTGTTATTTAATTTTTTATCTTTTTGTTGTGCTGCCGTTGGCTTTTTTTTTTTTTTATCTGTGTGGGGTTGTGCGCTTATTTCCCGCAGATGTGTTGTTTCATAAATGAGTCTATGGCTTAAGGTGACAAATTTGCATTCTTCTAAAATACGTATGTATGTATGTATGTATGCTTTTTTTTTTTTTTTAAAATAAATAAATATATATCTTTTTGCTTGAGGTAAATGAAAGCCTTTGAAATTATGAGAAGATTCTTGTGCTTGAAAGTTGTCTGTGCGTTTGGTTGTGCTGATTTTGTTGTTGCTTTTGCCGTGTGTGTGTGTGTGTGTGTGTGTGTGTTCCTGTTTGCAGTACCTCTTGGCGGTGCCGAATGCTTTTTTCTTCTTTACGTTCTCTTTTTGTTGCAGAAGAAAATTGAATAGAAGAGAGGAGGGATTTGTGTTTTGTTTCTTTTCTTTGTGTTTGGGCCCAGTAAGGTGGGGGGCGAAATATTTATAGCTAGAGAGAGAGAGAGAGAGAGTGTGTGTGTGTGTGTGTGTGTGTATTTGGGCGGGCACGAGTGGAAAAGGGATAGAGGGGGCTTTCAAAGCGGTGGTGGTGGTGGTGGTGTGCGCTCTCATGACTGGAGTAGTGCCAGAGATTAAAGAGACGAATGCGGAGAGCGGTGGAACTGCGAGATTTCTTTTTTTTGGAATTGTCACTGTCATTGTCGCGCTTTTCATAGCCAGGTTTATTTCACGTTATGTTTTTGGAGCCATTGGCGTCTACTCGCGGCACCGTCACACATTGTTGTTGATTGGACTGTGCGGAAGTGGAAAGACGGCTCTTTTTGCACAGCTTGTTGCACAGAAATGTGTTTCTGCGCGGACGAGCATGCAGCCTAATCGTGCAGTCATGACCCGACGTCAACTCTCGAGTCACAAGGAGAAGGAGGAGGAGGAGTCATCATTTTCTGCGCCGTCGAGGTTTTCAAATGGGGCGAATGCGTCTCAGGTTGTTGTAGACTTTCCCGGTCACCGTCGTCTGCGTGATTCGCTTTTGTCCGCAGTTGAGGAGGCAATGAGCGTTGTCGTGGTGGTGGACGCCGTTACCATTCAAGATGATCGACAAGAAGGGGCTCAGGCGCTCGCGGAGCTCATCTTTTCCGTCTTTACCTCATCTGCGTTTTACGGTGTTCAACGTGTGCTGGTGGCATGCACCAAGCGGGACGAGTTGACGAGTTACTCCGCCAAGGCAGTGCGGAAGCTGCTTGAGGCGGAGATTACCCGCTTTGTTACGTCGCGTCGGGGTGATCTGCAGAGTCTTGACAGTATTCTTAACTCGGCTAGGGTCGTGGTGGGGCACAAAAAGAGTAAATTTGCTGGTGGCGGTGACAGCGGCAGAAGGGATGGCATTGCGCATCAGCTGTCGCTGGATGAATCCGGCAAGTTCACATTTGACAATTTTCCGGTTCCTGTACACTTTGCGGATGTCTCCTCTGTTGTGGATCCAGGGCGGCACCCATTCAACGTGGAGCCCGTCTGGGAATTTGTGGAGGGGCGCATGTGACATCCATCACACGTCTCTTTTTTTTTTTTTTTTTCCCTTCCATGCGAGGGGCGTATCACGGGGGGCGCCAAGTGGAAGGAGGAGGAAAAAAAAAAAGAAAACAAAAGGGTGAGTGACTCCAAAACAACAGCAACAATAATAAATTGCACATGAATTATACATATATATATATATATGTGCATTTAGGGCGTCATGTCTCTTTCACTTTTGTCATGGGCGGCAATTTTTCTCCTGTCACTTTTTCTTTTGTTATTGTTGTTTCCCCCCCCCCCCTTTCGGCCTATCGCGGGTTCAAAGCCTGCTGCAGACAGAGCCATTCAATTTTTTTTCTCTTTTTTTTTGTATGTGCATGTGAAGGGAACACAAGAGCCAAAGAAAAAACAAACAAACAAACAATAAATAAATAAATAAATAAAAAAAGGAGAAAAGGGAGAGGAGATTTTCTCTCCTTTTTTTTTTTAAATACTTTTTTTCTTTATTTTTTTTTTCTTGTTGTGTGCTTGCGTGCTTCTGTTTAGCCGGTTCTTTTCTCTCCTCCCTGCACGGGATGCAGAAGTCGTCGAGTCATGCGGAACAAAGAAAAGGCCCGCAGAGCTCTTTAATGCGTGCATCGGAACGTCACAGCACAGTCGTTAGTCGTCTCTCGCGATCGCGGCGCACAAGAACGGAGTCGCGTCATCGCTCCAACGAAGTCTGGCAGGAGCTTGAGTCGACAGTCCATGTTCTTGACAATGGGGTTGACCGGACGCCATTGCCGCTGCAGAAGCGACCAAACGCTAATGGTGTTCCCCGCGAGAGTCACCAAGGCATGAGTTCCATCAGTCTGTTGCTTCCACTGGAGAGTAGTTCCATTTTTCATTCTTCATTGCTGAACGCCAGCTCAATAGATGCGTTGAATGTTGCCTCGAACACAAGCCCGTACAGTCCATCACAGACTGGCTTTGTAACGGCCTCGTCCTCGCTGACAAGCGTCTCTGTCGACCGCCGCGCGTCCGTCTTTTCTTCCAGTACGTTGTCCGCCCCAGGTCAAACTGTGCAATACCAGGCTGGTTCCTTTCAATTGGAGGATGCCTTTTCTGCTCCGAAGAAACGCGTCCTAACACGGGAGGAAAGGCACATGTGGTTTGAGGATAAAACGACTGTTGTCCTTTGTGAGACTCCAACCATTATGCTTTACACACATCAAGATGAAATTGTACCCAATGAACGAAAGGAGGAGCTGCAGGAAGTGCAGGATCGCAATGCGGCGTATGCGGAGTTAGTGGAGGCAAAGCGCGTTGATGAAGGCACACGTTTTCAGGAGAAGGGCTCCTGGACCTTTATTGTGCCCAAGAAGTCCATTCACTGCTCCATTTGCCCTCCGAAAAAGAAGGATGCAGGCGCATTGCAGGTGACGCCGTGGTTGTTGCGTGACCAGTTTACCGCTCTTCTGGCAGAAGATACAGATGTCATGAAGGACGAGGAAGAAGAAGTCGATGAGGAAGATGGCGAATTGGAAGAGACGGGGGAGGAGCAAGAAAAAGAGGTCCCATCGGAAACAACTGGTGAGCGAAGCAGCCTTTCAAATAATCGTTCTATGTTATCGTGGATGTTTGCCGATTCATTGCTCCCGACTTTACGTGTTATGGAGCGAGTTGTTGTCCAGAACACGATGGAGGAGGTGCAGTTGTCATACCGAGGAATCACGATGGACCCTGCGGCACGCCGTGTACCTCGAGCCTCCGAGAAGGAGGAAAACTCAAATTTGGAAGAGACGGAGATGGCAGTAGCGGCAGAGGTGCAGGAACCAAATGATGTGGCTCCCGCCGTGGCCGCCACGCCTTTGTTGAAGTCTGAACTTCCACCACTAAGGATTTCAGAAGATATTAAGGGTTTGTGGACCTTTCGATCGCCCCAAACAAGGGATCGCGCCGTTACTTGCATGGCGTGGAACTGCAAGGAAAATGATATTCTTGCCGTTGGCTACAGTGCAGTTCGAGGACAGGACGCACTAGGCGTGGAACCTGCAAACACATTCCAGGGAGGCATTGTGTGCTGTTGGTCGTTAAAGAACCCCCTCGCACCAGAGCGCGTCATTCAGCTGAACACAGAGGCGGGAGTATCGTCGGTAGCGTTTTCGTATGAGCACCCAAGTCTTCTTGCTGTCGGTAACATGGAGGGTGGGATTCTTATTTATGACATCCAAAAAGACTCAAATGTCCCTGCCATCAAGACAACTTTGACGAGTGGGCAGCACACTGGGGCGGTTTGGGAGATGAAGTGGGTGGCACGCGGTAAAGAGCGTGGGGAATTCCTCATGTCCATCTCCGGTGACGGACGTGTCGTCCAGTGGGCGGTTGGAAAAACAATCGAACGTGTGGCACCCGATCTCATGACGTTGAAGCGGCAAGGTGGCGCTGCCTGTGAGCCTGTCATTGCAGACAACGGCACTAATGGTGGTAAACGTAATGGAGATATGCAGCAGCGACGCAGGCGCGATGCACTTTTTTCCCGACAATGTGGCGGTATGTGTATGGACGTGTCTCCTGCAGATGGCACAGTATATGTTGTTGGCACAGAGGACGGCTCTGTTCATCAATGTAACAAGAGCCAAACAGAGAACTACGAGTTGGACTACGCGCCGCACTCGGAACTTGTCTACCGCGTGCGATGGTCTCCTTATAGCGATGAATACTTCCTCACTTGTTCGGCGGATTGGAGCTCGCGACTGTATCGTCTTGGGCAATCCACACAATTACTGAAGTTTGATAGTCCGAATCAAAATGCCGTGCAGGATATCGCGTGGTCCTACACGAACTCTACTGCCTTTGCCACCGTGACAGCCCAGGGAAACGTGGAGCTGTGGACCATCATGGACTCCATTCATCCCCGTTCCACTGTGCAGTTTTTGGATCAGCGCCGGCTTGCGTGTGTTCTCTTTGCGGAACAGGATGCCGCTGTGCTGGTGGTTGGGGACGAAAAGGGTGACGTGACCCTATTTCGCCTTCTTTCACCGTACTATAGCGGCATGAACATGTTAGCCGATGAACAGGAGCGTCAGCTCGAGGAGGCCATTCGCAAGGCAATCTCGTAATTGTGTCTGGATGAAATGAGCAACAGGAAACGGAAGCCCCAAAATACGAATGAAAAAAAAAAAGAAAAAAAAAAGAGGGTGCGGGAGGGGCCGAAGAGAAATGTCGAGGATGAATAAAAAGGAGGAAAAGGAAAGAGGAGTGCCTGTGCATTGCACGGCAACAGTGATGTGTCAACCTCACACCAAACAACCGCAACACAACAAAAAAAAAAAAAAAAAAGAAAAAAAGACTGTGAGAATCGAAACAAAAAAAAAAAAAAAAAGGAGGAGATTGAAGGCAATGAAGGTGGTGATGGGGGTGAGGGGAGTGTGGCCCTCGAGTGACGCTCTCAGTGTCACTGTCTGAGCCGGCTGGCACCGGTCTTCGCGATGTAAATGATAGAGACTGAGAAGCACAAATACACACAAATGAATGCGTGAGTGTCTGTGTGTGAACGAAAAAAAAGAAGAAGAAGAAGAGACATGAATAAAAAACGGGCTCTTCATAGGATAGTCTCCTTTCATGTAGACATGTTGTATGCGTACAATACCACTACACTAGCGGAATTTGCCTTTCTTTCTTTTTTTTTTTTTTTTTTTACTTTTTTTTTTTCTTATTATTTTTTGTTTGTGCGTTTGATCGCTCCGATGCTTCATCGGAGGGATTTAGAGTTTATTGGCTGTGCCTTTTTAGCTTGCAGTTCTGGGGAAGCCAACACGAGCCAATAACAACTTTCTACACCTGTTAGAAGGAGTTGAAGAAGCAGTATTAGCAGAGAGAGAGGGGGACAGGGGAAAGGGTGTGGGAAAAAAAAAAAAAAAAAAATAAGGGCGCTTTGTGTGCTGGTGACTGTTGATATTTGAGAGAGCAACAACAACAACAACAACGATAAAGAAAAGCAAAGGCAAGACAGCACGGAGCCATCTTATTTTTTTTTTTTTACGAGGGTTCTGAGACTTTGGCATGTCGACAAATCCGGAGGAACGTGAGGCGGAACCACAACCATCACCACATTCAGTTCCGCCACAACAGCAACTACAGGAAGAGGCAAATGTTGAAGAAATGACCGGCGTTGGCGCTGCTGATGCCGCCGTGGAAGAAGTCGCTTTTGTGCCGCCGCCGCCGCAACAAAAGGAGGAGCAGCAACAGGCAGAAGAACAACAACTGGAGGTGGCACCACAAGAGGAACAACGCGATGAAGAACGAGGTATGCAGGGAATTGTGGAAGTTGAAGGGAATATTGATACAAAATTGCGAACGTTATTAGGTGCTCATCCCACGCCGCATAGCCGCAAGGGGGGCAGCACCACAAAGGAAGGGGACGCGGAGTCTCTGAGTACTGCTACCGAAACCCGGTTCCAAATGTCCAAAACGCTTCCACCTTTAACGGCTTTGTCATTGCTTGAGAAGGGAATAGGATCTGATTTTCGAGCGCGGGATGCGTCAAACCGATCGTTTAAGATGGGGAGTTATGATTCTTCTACGGGAAACAGGTTTTACTCGGCCGGTAATTATGCGCCATTCCGCACCGTGAATAGTATGACACCCAATGAAGAATACATGGCGTTCCGAGCACGCAATGGTGTTTCTTCGTATTATAAAGGACCCATATTTGCTGTAGAGGATCTTTATGTGATGTGTGCAGAGTGCGGTGCTCCTGTTGACCCAGTTACTCGTGTTCCTGCCGGAAAGCTGTTTTTTCATCCACAGTGTATCAGTTGCAAGTTGTGTGGTCGCACCGATATTGCGGATGCTTACTTCAGGGCAATGGGCAACGGCGCAATATGCTCTGAGTGTGCTTCAAGGGGCTTTGCGTGGTGTGTGCCGCGAGAAGCTGCCGCGGCGCGTGGAATTGTTCCAGGTGCTGTTGTTGGCAAAATTGATGAGGCTGTTAGACTTTATGATCTTAAGAGGAACCTGCAACCGATTAATCACCCCACTCTGCCGGGAGCCATTCCGCCCACACTTGTGCTAGGTCGTCTTTTTGTCCATCGCGGGCAGAGCACAAGAAAGTACTCACTCATTCAGCGTCAACAGTACTACACGCAGAATGACAACAACATTATTTGTTTGCCGCCTGAGGGGTCGAGGGCATACTCGCGGGCGTCCAGTGCGAGTCGACACCGGTGGAAGAAGGATGAAATGCCCAAGTTGATGTAGGCAGCGCGATGCATGCAACGAGAATAAAAAACAAAAACAAAAAGGAGAAACAACAACAACAACAACAAAAACAAAGAAGGATAACAGGAAAATATTTTTCTTTATTTGCTCTGACGGAAAGAAGAGGGAATAATAAAAGCAACGGCAGCGGTAGGAACAACAGCAACGAGAAGAAGAAAAAGAAGAGAGAGAATATATATATTTAAGACACATCACCGATTACACTTTGGGGCGTGACATTCATCAGAAGGGGGGAAATAGTGCTGAGAGTGGGAGACACTCGTGAGGGGAGACAGGGGAACCCACGAAGTGGAGTGCCTTCATGTCTCCAGGACTCTCTTTTTTTTTTTTTTTGTTTGTGTGTGTTGCTGCTTCTCTTCTATTTATGTGTGTGTATGTTTGTATTTCCTTTCGCCCTTTTTTTGGGGAGGGAGGGAGGGAGGGAGGTCTTTTCTAAAGGACTTCTCCCAGCAGAATTATGTACATACCTTGCGGAGGCGTGGGAATTTTTTCCTTTTTTTTTTTCTTTCTCTATCTCTCTTTTTGTGTAATTGATTGATTGATTGATTTAATAAAAAAAAAAAAAATATTTTTTTTTTTTTTTTGTGAGTTCGCTGCGGATGTATTTATTTTCCCTTCCGTCGTTCTTGCATCTCTACGGGAGTTGTTTTCCTTTTTTTTTTTTTTTTTTTTCCCTCCGTTTTTCTCCAGTTCTCGTTATTTTGCATGTCTTATTTCTTCCTGTGGAGGGGACGGGGTTGTCTGTCCCTTTTGAACACCAACAAAAAAAAGAAAAAAAAAAACAATAATAAAAAAAAAAAAAATAAAGAATACGGGAAATTGTGATGGATGTTTTTCTTTTTTTTTTTTCCTGTTTTTATGTTTGCTTCTTCTTGATTTTGTTTATCATCATCACTAGCAAGGGAATTTTTGTCTTTGCCTCGTTACTGTTGGGGCGCCCCTTTGCGCACGGATGAATGGGATGAAGTATGACCGACAGCTGCGTTTGTGGAGCCTTGCAGGCCAGCGTTCACTGACGGAGGCGCATGTTGTGGTTTTGGGCGCCACGGCAACGGCGGCGGAGGTGCTGAAGAACTTGATTCTGCCGGGGATTGGCTTCTACACCATCGTGGACGATGCCCCCGTTGATGATGGGGCACTGGGGAATAATTTTTTTCTCTCCGTCGATGACTACATCTCACGCCGCCCACTCTCGGAGGCTTTGCTGCAGCATCTCAGTGCATTAAATCCGCAGTCAAATGGAATGGCTTGTGTGGAGTCATGTGTCTCGTGGGTGGAGAACTTCTTGTCGACTGGCATGCAAGCGCGTGGCACGGTCAGCTTGACCAGCAATGGCCGCCGCCCTCTCTTATTTTGGTGACACCACGACTACCTGCCTTTTTGCTTCGTCGTCTTTCAGTCTGCCTGAAGGTTCAGAATGCACCGCCGCTCTTGTACGTGCAAACGCTGGGTCTAATGGGCCTCATTCACGTGCAGGAGAAGGAGCGGCTCATTATTCATGCAGAGCCAAAGAGTGAAACATGTGTGGAGGACCTTCGTATTTTCAACCCTTTTCCTGAACTGAAGGATTGGTTTGACGCGCATGATCCAGAGGATGACTCACTCTTTAGCGACGATATCGAGTTGCATAGTCATATTCCATGGATTGCAATTCTCTATCACGCTCTTCAACGCCTTCGACGGGAGCGTGGCACACCACGGCTTGTGCCACGCACCAAGGCAGACTATGATGCCGTAAGAAGGGTCGTCGGCGCATTTATTCGTAGGCCGCACCCGCCTCAAGAGGGTTTTATGGAGGCTATGGAGAAATGTTGTGTGGTTCTTAACCGTCCGTCTCTGTTGCCTATTAAAGTGCAGGACATTTTGCAGGACCCTCGTAGTGATGCACCGTGTCTTAATGGACAATTGGTTAATGATCACAGACCACTTTACTGGCTGGTGCTGCATGGAATCAAGCGATTCATGGAAGAAAATGATGGAGTGCCACCATTCTGCGGATATGTACCGGACTTCACCACCACAACACAGTGGTACGGTGAGCTGCGTGCCATTTACGACAAAAAATTGCGAGACGATTGCAAATTGGTGTACGACTACGCGATGGAAGCTATTGCTGGCTGCAGTCACGACAGCAGTGCATCCGTAGTGGATGCGAACGAAATCTCTGACCTGACGCGGGCTTTGGTTCAGAATATATGGACATTACAACTCGTGCGATTTGGCCCTGATCTCGATGAGACGGCCACGGACGCACCACTGCGATGGCAGCGTGTTTGTCACTATTTTGACGAATGCGAGAGTGAGGAGGAGCGGTTCACTGTGGAATTATACATGGCTCTTTTAGCTGCGCACCGATTTGAGGAGCAGTTTGGGCGATCACCGGGGCAAGTGCTTCATCCCAGCGCAGAGCCGGATGCAGCGTGGGTAGATGACTCGAAGGAGTTGTTGCGGATAATTGAGGAGGCATGGCAAGGATACCGCTGCGGCATGGAACTCACGGCAAAGGCATGCATGGAAGTGGCTCGGTTTGGTGGTGGCGAACCAGCTGCCACGGCGTGTATCGTTGGGGCGGCGGCGGCGCAGGAGTGCATAAAACTTGTGCAGCATCGTCGTGTTCCCATTCAGCGGCCGTTGATATTTGACGGGTACCGATGCTGTTTTTGGCTTGCCCCACCACCACGGGAGGAGGTTGAGGGCGTGGTGCCCACATGATGGTGGCAGCATGGGCGACCAGCTTTCTCTTCCTCGGAACGGTGACTGTGAGGATGCCCCCTCTCCTGCTAAAAAAAAAAAAAAAGAGGAAAGAAAAAGAATGTGTTGCTTTACACCCTGCTCTTTTATGGCCTTTTTCTTTTTTATTATTTTTTTCTTTATTACTATTATTATATTTATTTATTGTTCCATTCTGTGGATGCAAGCATGCACACCACTCCCAGCGTGTGCAATTTATAAACAAATAAAAGAAGTTGGTAGTGGGCACCTTAGAGACTCAAGAAGCTGATCGAGTAAAAAAAAAAAGAAGGAGGAGGACGAAATGTCGCATCGAGTGGCGCGTCCGCTTCGGCTGCTGCAGTCTTCTTGGAGCCTTGGGGTTGAGCGTGAAGGTGGCCACACGGTGCCGACCATTGCCGTGTACAAACCTTCTGGCCTCCCGTACTTTGCCACGTCACAGGTGGCCGCGTGCAGCAGCGGACGACATTTGTTTTCTGCCTCGCCACGGGACACTCCGGCAGTAGAACCAACGGATGTGAGTGACTCTCTGCTCGGTCGGATGACTGACCTCCTGCCTCCCGGAAGCGGCATACCGCGTGTAGCTTTACCACTCATTCACCCAGCGTTATCGCGTTATGCCACGGCGTCGCAATTGAATGCGTTGACGGCACAGCGAAAGGGAACTTCACTTATTGCCTGTTCACCTCATGAGTTTATGTTCCTTCGCAACTGCCATCGGCTGCATCTTGTACGGTCTGTTTACCGTGTGCTCTGTCGCCTTCCTCCGTGCGTGTCTGTTCGAGTACGACGTGCCTTACGTGAAAGGAATGCAGCCGGGCGAACCACAGAGAGTGCCTTTAAAAATCCTTACGTCCAAGAGTTTCTCCAGCGCTCCAGTAGCATCTCGGGTGTGGCGGGGAGTATCTCTATTGTAAGCGAAGTGGATGGGAGTTTGCCTCCGTGCGCATATCCTTATCCTTTGCTACAGGGAGGATTTATTAGTCTCAAGGAGCGGTGTTTGTTGCCTCACGGCACCGTCTCTGGGTATCTCAGTGGGTATCAACTTCCACCTGGTGTGCAGAGAATCCTGAAGAAGCAGCAGAGGCTCAAGGAACTTTTTCTGCCACCTACGGTAATGAAATCTTTTTCGTCATCATCATCATCATCACGACTGGCGATGGATGCCGTTGCGGAGGATAATAACGCAGGAGGGTGTACAATATGCCGAGGCAAAATGACCGGCCAGGAAGACGTTACTCCTCATCCATGGATCGGGCCTGAGTGCCGAATGCGTGTTGCACTGGATGTGAGGGTGACGCCAGACAGGGAAGCGGTTAATGAGATAAATGTTGATTGCAGCGACGTGGACCGTGCATTGACCCCGCACCCGGACGGGAACGAAGGTGCCCCACTCGACCAACCGCAGTGGGGAAGGCGAGGAAGCCGTCGTCTTACTGGGAAACCGTTCAGATTTGATTTTCGATTAGTCACCCTCAACGATGCCTGTGAATTGGCGTTGTATGAGGTCTCCACCAACAATGCATCGGACGAGGAGATCAAGGCAGCCTTCGCAGCCGCCAACTTTACGGTCATGAACGATTTTGTGAATGATATTGCGCTTGCGGAGGCCATGCAGACGGTCTCACAGGAAATACACACAGTGTCACGGGCGAAAATTGCAGATTTACCAATGGCCGCCCAACACATGTTGCGAGAGGGATCTCCGCTGGAATTGGTGGCCGAGCCACTCCTCAGCATCCCTACTGCATTATCCCCTGTGGGTGGAGCTATCGAACCACAGGCCGATTTGTTAAAGCACATGGAGCAGGTGTCAGAACGAAGCGGTCTGCGTGGTCATCGCTACCGTCTTCTCTTGGAGACGCTTGGAAACTTGAAGGATGAGAAGACATTCTTTCTTGTTGCCCAGTTAGTGTTCGGCAGTGGCTTGGAATGCACCGCGATTCACTTTCCAGATCCAAGGAACGAAGCCAACACGAGTGCCGTCCAACATCTTCTTCTTCGAATGGAGGGGAGTGAATTTTCAGAGGCATACTGTAACAATGTTGCAGAGCGTATGTCTTTTGTGAGCCGTGGGGCCGCTGTTGACTGCGAGACATACAACACGCTGCTCCAGAATGACAGCATGCGGTGCCTCCCACCGCAGCGTGAAGTGAATGTAGCATGGGGCGGTGGACATTCCACCATTGTGCGAAGGGAGGAGTGTGGCGAATTGGGATGTGCATACTGTGGGGCGCGTGGTCACGTCTGGAGTACATGCCCAGGGGGAGTTCCGTTAATATCCAATGAGGCAGGCTCTACTGTTGAAGGGGAGAAAAGTAAAAAGGGAATCACAAAAGACAATTCAGTGACGGAATCAGACAAGTCCAATTTGGAAAGAAAAGCCTTGGATGACATTTTGTTGACAACTGTGGATGATGTGACAGATGCTCTTGAAAATGCCACGAGAAAAACGGATGATGCAAACTTTATTTCAATCCCAAACACTGCCCCAACGCAGGATTTTAATCCACATGCTTGGCGCCGTCACAATCAACGGCCAGCTTTGCATCAACACCGCCTGCGTTGTGCGTACTGCAGTGGGAAGCATCACATTACGCAGTGTCCCAGGCTCTCTTGGAATGAGATGGGCGCCCAGGTAGGAGGTCAGTTGGACAAGGAACAGCTCCGTCATAACGCGGAGAAATTGTTCTGTATTAAATGTGGAAAATTTGGCCACCTGTACGACAGATGCCCAGCCGTACCGCAGGGACTTCACGCGGCGACACATTGCCCCATCTGTCTGCAGCCTCACCGTAAGATACACCATGAACCTTTACACTGCCCACGTCGCGTCACGCCCCCGCAGGACTACTTCCCAAGCGGAGTACCCGCAAGTTTCGCGCAAGTTAACAGGAGCAGGAAAAAGTCAACCCGTCACGGGGGCGGTGTACTTCTTTCGGACTCCTTTTTTTCACGTCCGTAGCGCGAAATAATACGAGATGAAATGGAGAAATAGAAGAAGAAGAATAAGGGTGCCTTCATTATTTGCTTTGACCGGAGGATGGGACTCTCTTTCTTTCACTCTCAGTAAATAATAGACTGACACACACAGAAACAAACAAACAAAAAAAATATGTACGAACTTTCATAGTAATGACATCTTTAAGCATTTTTGATGACATTCATGTCCTTTTCTTTTGTTGAATTGTGTTTTGCCGCCGTTGTTATTTATCTTCACCAACATATATATATATAAAGCCAAAGGTATACAAGTAACCCCCTAAAAAAATACCAAAAAAAAAAAAGGAAAAGGAAAAGGAAACAGGAGCTTTTGAGAGGCAGCAGCACTCGGCAGTGTTGCTGGTGGGCATAAACAAGGCGAGGTGTGCATTGTACCTTTACTGTTACGCACACAAAAAGTTAGTGCAGCATGTGGAGTAACTGGGGTGACGTCAAGAGGAAAATCAAGGACATTGCTGCCGAGATCACTCAGCCACTCGATGAGGAGTCGGAGGATGCCCATGAGAAGGAACAACCTTCCGGCGGGGGAAGAAGTAGGCCACTGCGGGAGGAGCCGCGTCCGATGTCGCATGCGGCACCGCACAGTTCTCGGCTCCTAACAGTGAAGAACGACTCGATTTACGACCATAGCGGCAGTTTATCGACGTCACGATTAGGGGGATACACCGCCCCACCGGTTCGTCAAGCAGCCCCATCGGATATTAGCACGACGCCACCATCACGTCTTAACAACTCCAGCGTACATGAGGAGAGTGTTGAGCGGAGTCGAATTTCTTCTACCGCAACTGTGGATAAGACGTTATCAACGCCTTGTAAAGAATCTGAAATGGGAACAGCGGCGGCAACAACATCCCCAGCAGGAACAAAAAACGGTGGCGAGGCGAAGCAAAACAAGGAGGAATATATTGAGAAATTGGAACAGCAGGTACGGCGATTGTCGGAGGCTAAATTTCAGATTGAACAACAGGTTTTTGCGTACCAGGAAAAAGTGAGGGAATCACATAAAAAGACCGTGGAGTATTATGAACAAAAAATGGCGACGCTTCAGCATGGAATAAGCTCGGAAAAGGCTCTAAAGGAAGAATTTGCAGAAAAACTTTCGCAGCGCGAAAAGGATTGTCAAGAACTTCAGAGTGAAGTTCAAGAACTGCGTGAACAGGTAAAGAAATTTGATGATGAGGCCACCATTATAAAAATATTGCATGATGAGATGAAAAAAACGTTAGCTGATCGGGAAGAGGAATGCTTGGAAAAGAGACGGCAGATCGAATCGTTGCAGGAGCTACACGATGCTTTATTGGAACGCGTTGAGCGTGAGAAACAAAATAAAGACAAAACTCCAATGGAGTCTGTCCCTATTGCTCATTCAGATGCTCATGTTAGCAGTCACGTTGCATCGGGATTGGTGGTGGGGGATTCGTCAGTGGCGGAACTCCGTCGGCGCGTTGAGGCGCTGGAAGAGGAAAAAGTTCTCATGTTGCGTGAGAAGGAGCAAATGACGGCGTTGCTACTAGAAGAGCGGCGCATCCACCGCGTCACAGTGAAGGAAAGAGAGCAGATATTGTCTCACGACCGGGAGCAGGCGCAGCGACTGGCGGCACTGGTTCAGCGACTTGAGAATGAGCGGCAGCAGGAGCGACAAAACGACAGGGAGGAGGAAGAGAAACGAGGGAAGATGTTGACGCAGCAGGAGGAGGCGGCGCCGGGGAATGGGATGGAAATGGAAAGGGCCGCCGCGAGGAATCGTGAGGAGCTGGAAAAGCTGACATCTTCTTTGGAGAAGGAAATTGTCGCGTTGCGGTCGCAGTTGGAGACGAACAAACATGAAGGTGAGGAGGCCGTCCACCGCGTGAAGGCGGCGCTAAGCGAAGAACACGCGCGTAACATGGCAGCGTTTGTGTCACAAGAGGAGCAAAGGACACGTGAAACGATTGAAAAACTCCAACGCGAATTGCAGGACGCCCAGCAGCACGGGATTGAATTAGAAAGACGACGGGAGAAGCTGTGGGAGGAAGTGCAGCAGCTTAAAGACCGCCTCAAGCAGGCGCACTCCGACGCAGAGACGCTCTCAAACAAGTTGATTGTAGCCGAAACACAAGTGGAGGAGCTGCAGTTTAGTTTGCAGGAGGCGCGGCATGCAACGGAGGGAAATGAGGCTTCCCTTGTCTGCGCTCTCACAGCCCGAAAGAAGGAGCTGGAGACGACAAGTGCGCGACAAAAGGAGCTTTTGCAGCAGCTGGAGCACACCATCACGGATTGCCTTGTGCGCACAGACACAGATTTGCCGCCGCCGCGTGAGGGCGTCGGGGCGTCTTTTTCGGATAAAGTCATTCTTCTTGTGAGTGAGTTTAACCGCCTCTTTAGTGAAAATCAAAAAGCAGCGCAGCTGCAGAAGGAGTGGGAACGAACCTATGAGCAGGCGCGAGGAGTGAATGGGACACTTTCTCAGCAGGTGAGCGAGGCCTGGAAAACCATTGGAGTCTTACGGGAGGACCTTTCCATCCGGGATCAGTCCTTTGCAAAGCTGAAACAACAACTTCAGGCGGAGTCGCAGCAGCGCCATGATGCACAACACACTCTGACGGTTATAACAAATGAACTCCATGGCCTCAAGGAGGAAAAAAGGGCATGGGAAACACGCATAGGTCTCTCCAGTGATGGAAAGGCAAATCATCAGGAACAGCTAAACGCGTTGGAGGCGGATGTTGAGACACTGCGAAGGAACCTGCTTGATCGGGAGGAGGAATTGTCGCAGGCGCAAAGTAGTTTGGAGACACTCCAGCAGGTGCTTGATACCTTCACACAGAACAAAACACGTGATGTGGAAGAGCGGACAGCCGACATGCAAATTGAGATTGATCAGCTGCGGACGCAATTGTTAGAGGCTGAGAAGCGACAACACCACCATCAGGCGGACATTGACGCACTGGCCGCAGGCCACATGCGAGAAATTGCGGCAAAGAATGCGGAAATTACTTCACTTCATCGAAAACACGCCGAAATTAGAAAGGCACTGGATGAGACGGCGCGGCAGTTAAATGGGACGACCATGATTGACAAACGCGTCATTAGTCACCTTACGGTGAATTTTATTCATGCATTTGTGGGTAAGCGACGTGAGGCAGATGAGATGCTGAAGGTTTTAAGTGGCCTGCTGAACTGGGACGAGGAGATGCAAGAAAAGGCGGGTCTGTTGCCCGGTCCTAGCAATCCAAAGCCCGGCCATCAGAGAAAAGGTGGTGGACTCATTGGAGGCCTTGTGAAAACTGTCTGGGGAGGTCCTGGCCGTGGAGCGAGACAGGAAGGTGGTGACAGTGGCACGTCGCCAAGTATTGCGGAGTTGTGGGTGGAGTTTTTAATGCGAGAAAGCGAGGCGGGAACAATTCAGGGGGATGCGGCGTCGGTGAATACCACTTCCAATGCTTCCACTCTGCAAATTGAGGATGTCATTGTTACGGAAGGAGATGGCAGTGGCGTTAAGTCACTCACGGTTTAAGATGGGGCCATGTGCATCTTGCGTGTTGTTTTAGATATTTGTGGAAGTTTTGTCTACTTTATAGTAGTGTGTGCGTAAGGGGGTTTTGTTTCCACCTCGGCGTTTTTTTTTTTTTTTTTACATGTTCTTTGTGGCATTTCATGGGGAGCGAACTTCATTAGACAGTTCATGGGAGGATCGCATGTTTTTTTTACGTGGATGCGATGAGGCACATTTGATTTGTCTGTCGCTTGGATGAGGAAAGGGAAAGGGGATGTATTCTGAAGACGTAAGAAGGACTGACGATATGTGTGCTTTTTTCTTTTTTTTTCTCTTTTTCCCTTTTTTTTTCCTGTTTATTGCTGCTGCCACTCATTTTTTTTTTGTTACCATTGTGGTGGCTTTGTGTTTATTTTTGTTCCTTCTCTCTAAAGTTGTTGTATTTATGTGTATGTGTGCGTGCATATATGCATGTGCAATCACCGCTCTTTTTTCATTTCCTTTTTTCCAGCGCGAATTTGTTGACATTTCACTGAAGTTCTTGTAAAATTTGCATCCATGCCACTGATTCCCTTCTCCATTTCTGCATAAACGTTGTGTTGGACAGGTGCATCTTTGGTTTGGGCACGCGTAGCCAAAAAAAAATTATTATTATTTTTTTTTCCCAACTTTTTACCCCCGCTTTCTTTCCCTCTGACTTTGTTATACCACAGAGAAGGATTGGGCGGTGCACAGAGGGAGGCGGTGGATTTAACATTTCTTGCAACATAAAAAAAAAAAAAAAAAAAAATAAAAATGAACGGGGGTGGAAGAGGCGGCAGGGAGATGTCCAACTGCGTGGAGTGTAGTATTGACGCGTACGATGACGAAGGAGGATTTACATCCACCACCATCCTTATCGAGACATGTCGCTCAGACGCTGGAAGCAGCAGGCGCAGCAGTAAGAAGAGTACGAGCACAATGCGTACTCGGCGGAGAAAAAAGATGCAGAAACAGCTGCAGCAGCAGCAGCAGCAGCAGATTTGGCTTACAGGAGAAGGGGAGGATTTTTTTCAACAGTCATCTTATCCCCCCACACGACATGCATCATCTAGCGGGCGGGCACGCTGCAGTGTGAAGACACCCTTTTCCTCTGGTACTGCAGGGGCACCGTACAATAAGAAGTTGCGCAAGAAGAACATGCAGCAGCAACAACAACAACGCCACCACTTTTCGTTTGGGTGTAAAACGGCTACAAATAATGGCGGGGAGACGAGCTCTTCTTCTTTTTTCATCTCTCCCACACACCGTGTAGTAGCAGAAGCAACAACGCCGTGGAATAACGCATACGGCACTTCTGCAGGGCGTTACCATTTCTTCGGTCAGGGCGGTCTTCCGACGAATGTTTCGCGTGGTACGACGCGTCGCAAACGTGACGACGACAATGACGATGACATGGACGATAAGTCATTTCCATCGAATTTGGGACGGCGGGATCGTGCAGCGTTTGGAGGAGGCAGTCGCCTGTTGGCACCACTCCGTTCGCCTTCCGTGTTGCCGCCATTAGAGCTTTTGCCGGCTAGCAGAGTTGAAATTAGCAGCGACTTGTTGGAGAGCTGTTTGTTGGATGCTTGTCTGGGTGATGACGATGATTCCTTGTTTTTTTTTGAGTAGATACATATATATATATCTACGGAGGTGATGGCGTACCGTTGAGCACATGGAAATGGTGCACGGTTGATTGCAATAAATAAATAAGAAATTAGAAGAAACAATGGAACCAAGAATAAGGCGAGAAGGAGATAAAAAAAAAACAAGGGAGGGAGGGGGGGGGGGGGGGAATGAGAGATTCTCCCGAGGTGGGCACATATATATACATACATACATATACATATATTTATATATATTTATGTGCATGTCCCTGAGTTTTTTTGACGTTCACTTTTTCTGCAGAGAAGAGGGTAGGCAGGAGGATGGCGTGGCGTGTTCTGTGCCTCTTACTTTTTTTTTTTTTCCGCCAGTATCTCTTTTTTTAATTATTATTATTTTTTTTACATTGCCGACAATTAGGCGTGACACGCATGGTAGAGAGAGAGAGGAAAAAAAAAGAAAAAAAGAAAAAGAAGGGGAGTGGGTGGTTAAACAGAGAGAAGAAGAAAGTGATAGTCGTACGAGGTAATAAACAATGAGCACCAGCACCACACATGTGCAGAAGGAGACGATATTAAGCCTCAATTACTATGAGATCTTTTCCCTTGACCCTTCCGCACGAGATGTTGACTTTGGCTCCGTCCATCGCGCGTATCGCCGCTTTGCTCTCTTGTTTCACCCCGACAAAGATCCCTCACCGGCTGCAAGAGCGGCGTTTGAGCGGGTGAAACTTGCTGCAGAGACGCTTACAGACCCGCAGATGCGTCGAGAGTATGACGAAGAGTTGCTGCAGAAATTGCAACGCTCAACGGGCACCGGCGCCACATCCGCGTGGCAACGACAGCAACGGGATGTAATGGAGGAAGAGGCGCTTGCAGCCGACATGATTCTCCGACAGAAGGAGGCAGCCACGGCGGCGAAGGCAGCGGCGAAACGTGAGGAGGAGTTGGAGAAGGAGGCGGCAGCGAAGCAGATGCTGCATGAGTTGACAAACGCTCTGACAACTCCGTTTAAGCGGATGGAGGAGGAGTTGGTGCATGAATGGGAAATTGACGAGGATCTTCTGTCGATGAAGGAAAAGGAGGTGGAGTCTCTCCTGCAGAAGCTACGCGAGTACAATGAAGGTCAGGGTCGGCATGGACGGTCGGTGGATGCACACACGTGTGGTACAAAACGCAGAAGAAGCGAAGAAGAAACCGCCAGTAAAGTATGAGACGCATAAATGAAGGAAATGGAATGGGGTACATATATATATATATATACGTCTATTGCCCCTTCTTTTGGTGCATATAATGAAAAATCCGCGCATGCATGCTTCATTTCCCACACACAGTCTTTTTTTTTTTTTTTTTTTTTTTGCATTTTGGTGAGTGGGGTGAGGCGATGGGGGATGTTCTTCACCAAAGACTCACGTGGGACACCGTGGGAGAGTGAAATAAATATAAAGCATCACAATGCAGACAACAGCCAGACAACACACGAAGAGAAATGTTGTGGCATCCTATCGGATTTTTTTTTTCTTTTTTTAAATCCTTTTCTTCTTTCTCAACAAAGAAAATAGAAAAAAAGGGGATGCTTGGAAATCGCAGTTTGACGGAGGAGCAGACCCTTATTCGACGTCACTTTATTGACTTTTTTGAGTCGGAGCGGTACGAGGAAAAGTACCACGAACGTATTCATGAGATGATGTCTGCTGCCAGGTCCCGACTTCTACTTGACATGGGCGATTTGCTTGACTTTGTACCGGCGTCTGCTGGGTTTGATGGTAGTGGCACGGCGGCGGGAGCGGTGCCTGCTTCTCTTGGGGTTGGAATCGTTCGTGAGCCCGGAAAGTTTGTTCCGCTGCTTGAACTTGCCCTTCATGACGTTGTTCTACGGCAACAACCAGAGTATTTGAAGGTGGACTACCGCTCCCGTGCGGTGCATGTTGGGTTTGAAGGCCCTGTAGGGACCGTTCTCTCGCCGCGGGAATTATACGCTCGACATCTGAACACGATGGTGGCACTTGAGGGTATCATCACGCGCCAGTCTTCAAATCGCCCACGTGTGTTGGAGTCTGTGCACTATTGCCCCGAGACAAATAAATTTACCCGAAAGGAATTTCGCGATCAGTTTACACCAATGATTGATAGCACACATCTTCCAACAGTGAATGTTATGCCAAAAATGGACATGGAGGGTCACTTGCTCCGCACGGAGTTGGGACTATCGACTTTTATGGATTCACAGTGTGCAATTCTTCAAGAAGCACCTGAACGTGCACCAACAGGTCAACTTCCACGAACCGTTGAACTTCGCTTTGATGATGATTTGGTGGATGTCGTGAAGCCCGGGGATCGTGTGATGCTGGTGGGGGTTTATATGGCCTACACCACGGCTGACAGTAAAAGCTTTCAGTCTATTGTTTTAGTAAACCACGTGGTTTCTGTACAGGCGTTTACGATGTATCGCCGTGTGATGGCCGTGGAGGAGAAACTCTTGTCGTTTGCAAAGAAGTGTACACAAACCGATGGTCCTGCTGGTGTGCTTGAGGCGTTAAGCAAAGCGGTGGCACCAACCATCTATGGTATGGCAAACGAGAAAAAGGCTGTCTTGCTTCTCATGGTAGGTGGCGTAGAGCGGCAAGCGCATCAATCACGTGTACGCGGTGACATCAATGTGCTTCTTGTGGGTGAACCCTCTACCGCAAAGTCGCAGTTGCTTCGTTTTGTAATCGGTGTTGCACCATTGGCGCTTAGCACGACCGGTAAAGGCTCTTCCGGTGTCGGATTGACGGCTGCCGTGTCGGTGGACTCATACACGGGTGAACGATCCCTTTCGGCGGGAGCGATGGTACTTGCGGATCGTGGTATTCTCTGCATTGATGAATTTGATAAAATGAGTCCACAAGACCGAGTTGCCATGCATGAGGCAATGGAGCAGCAGACTGTAACAATTGCCAAGGCAGGCATTCACGCCTCTCTCAATGCTCGTTGCAGTGTGTTGGCGGCGGCAAACCCCATCTATGGCTTTTACAGCGTTCACCATCGTCTTGCATTTAATGTGGGTTTGCCGGAGTCACTGCTTTCACGTTTTGATCTCACATTTATTGTATTGGACAAACATTCCTCTGAGTATAACAGACGTATTGGGAGGCATATTCTCCGCAATCATATGACCGCCGCGCCGGTGGGCATTGATCAAAGTGTGACCAAAACGGTGGTGGATAGTCTAGACTCCGTCTGGGCACAGTCTGCAAAGAATGGGGGTGGGGGAAGCGGTGGAATGGATCTCCGTATGACCACAACAAGTACGGGAGAACCCATTGTTGGCGTGGACTTCCTGCGTGCCTACGTGCAGCTTGCGAAGGAGGGTCGACCACTGTTGACGGAGGCCTCGCAGCAGCTTGTGAGTCAGCACTATGTACAACTGCGTGCAGAGCAGCAGGAGGGATCAAAGGATGGCTTTTACGTGACGGCGCGTACATTAGAGGCGATTGTTCGTCTTTCGACAGCGCACGCAAAATTACGGCTTTCCTCTACTGTGGATGAAGAGGATGTCAAGAACGCCATGGAACTTTTACGCGCCTCTGTGCATGCCGCATCCACGGCGTCTCTGCAGCGCCGTGAGGACAATCAGGCGGCTGCCGTGGAATCACGTCCTGGCCAGAAGCGCCCTGCGGAGATGATCCGAGACGGTGCCAATGGGCGAACGCCTGAAGAAACGAAGGATGGAGCAACACCGTCCGCGATGATGGAAGGGGATATTACAACCCAACTTCTTGAAAAACGAGTAACAGAGGCCATTCGCGCGATGCAGCGTGAGCAACGTCCGTCTGTACGATTGGCGGAGCTGCATGAAAAGATAGGCGGCGGCTTCTCCTTAGAGAATCTGCGGCAGATTGTTTTACAACTGCAGGATGAGAACTTTGTATTTGAGGGCTCCGCAAATGATGGATGGATTCAGTTCATATGAATAGAAATAGAAGCAACGTAAAAGAGAAGAGGAGGAAAAAGGAAAGCAAAAAAAAAAAAAAAAAAAGAAAAAAAAGACTGAAGGAAATTACACGTTCTATGTACTTACACATAAAAAAAAAAAAAAAAGATCAGAGCAATTATAAAACAGAAAACAATGCGTGTAGGTGTAGTTCTCTGTGTATTTGTATGTGTGTACATATGTAACTGCGTCTTCAGATATTCCTGCCGTGTAGAAAAGAAAAAAAAAGAGAGAGAGAGAGAGAGAGAGGATCTCCAATATTCACCTGTTTTTGTCCTCAGCACTGTGATTTATTATTATTATTATTTCTTTTTATTTTTGTTTCCTCACACGGCAGGGATGTGAGAGGGTTTTTCTTATCGCTTTTTATTTAATAGGGTGTGGACGTTTTCCCAGTTTGGAAACGCACTTTTTTTTTCTTTTCTTTCTCTCTTTTCTTGCAGAAGTGCTTTTAGGCTTCATGCTGCGAATTGGGATTTGCCACTTTAGCCGCCAGGAACCACAGGTGATTGGGACTTCGGTGCCGTCGTTCCGTCACTTCCCGTATAGGGCGCAGGATGTTCTGCATCTCTACCGTGATTTCTTGCGTCTCATCCACCAACACCCGCCGCAGGAGCGAGCCGATCTTCTTTTTCGCCTGCACAACGAGTTTTACCGTCGGCGGCACCTCACGAGCCCCAAAATGATTACAGGCGCCATCAAACGAGGGGAGGGCATCCTGAACGTGCAGCGTAGTATGTTGGAGTCTAAGACACTGCGGGCCCGCGGTGTGTCGTCGCGAGAGCAGGGTGCGCAAAACGTGGATGGATTGTGGGATCAGCTGCAAATGCTCTCGGGACATGTTCTTCCGGGTCTGCGGAACTTTAGGCCCTCTCGAAATGTATTAAAAGGGTCCTACACGCAGCAGGCTACAACGCAGGCCGTCTACTCGCGTAGGAGATTATAGTCCATTTCCCTGTTTTGCTGCTTTTGAATTGCTGTGTGCGGCCACTCACAGCGGAGCATAAGGCAGGATGAGTATGCGTGTAGCTTATATTGCTGTGTGATGGTCGCTTTTCTTTTTATTTCTCTTTGTTTGTGCTTGTGTTTTTGTGCACTTTGCGACGATGTCTGGTCTCCTTCCCGCCCGTACAACGCAGATGGTGGTGAAGCCCTTAGGCGTGAGTCTGAGTCTCCTACCATCTTTTCAAGGAAAAAGCAACAACAAAAGCCGGAGGGCAGTGAGGATTGTCTGTTGTGTCAGACGAAAAAAGAAGAAAATAGATGCCAATGCCATTTGGGGAATTTCCCCCTTTTATTCGCCGCCGAGTCGTTGTCACCGGCCTTGGCGCAGTGACGCCACTCGGTCTTGACGTCGCTTCAACGTGGGCGGCGCTTTGTCAGGGCCGATCTGCCACACGTCCCCTCAAGGAAGTCCCTTTTTTCTTTCCTGCATGTATTGATTCCGACTGCCGCCTCACACCAGCGGCGAGGCAGAAGAGTCACGAGCAGCTGCTTGCAAAAATGCCGTGCCAAGTAGCCGCTCCAGTTTTGGCGCCATCGGGTGGGCCCAACTTCACACCCACTTTACGTGAAACACGTGCGACGTTGTTTGCATATTACGCCGCCGAAGAGGCATTGACGCATGCAAAGCTCCTTGAGTCCCCAGCGAAGCGAATACTCGCATCATTTGCGAAGGAACGTATTGGTGTGAACATTGGTGTTGGGATGCCTTCTCTTGCGGATGTCGGTGATGTCTCATACAGTTTGTATGCGGATCCAGAAAAAGTAAACTACAGTCGTGTGAATCCGTTGTTTGTTCCAAAGATCCTGGGGAATATGGTGACGGGATTGACAGCAATGAAGTATGGCATTATGGGGCCGGTGGGAAGCAGCGTTGCCGCCTGTGCCACGGGAGCGCATTGCATTGGAGAGGCGGCAGAATGGATTCGTGGTGGGCGGGCGGACATTGTTGTGTGTGGAGGAACAGAGGCCTGTATTACTCCTGTTTCCATCGCTGGATTTAGCCGTATGCGTGCACTCTGCACGAAGTATAACGGTATGCCGCAGGAAGCGTCGCGGCCGTTTGACAAGGATCGTGGTGGTTTTGTGATGGGTGAGGGAAGTGGCATTATCGTTTTAGAGCACCTGGAGCACGCAATGCAACGCGGGGCACAAATTTTTGCGGAACTACGCGGTTTTGGCATCTCGAGTGACGCCCACGATTTGGCCGCACCGCATCCGGAGGGCCGTGGGGCGCAACTGTGCCTCCGTTCCGCGTTAGAAGATGGGGGAAATATTTCAATAAACGATGTTGCGTATGTGAATGCACATGCCACCGGTACGATTGGTGACGACATGGAACTTCACGCCCTGGACAAAGTTCTGGGCGGCGACGGGACGTCCAGCCGCCGCCGTCCGGTATACGTCAGTAGCGTGAAGGGTGGTCTTGGACATCTCTTGGGGGCCGCAGGAAGCGTTGAGGCCATTGTTGCTATCATGTCTCTTTATCACCAGCAGGCACCTCCAAATATCAATCTTCACGCCCCTTCAGCGGAGGGGTTGGAGCGTCTGCAGCTTGTGCGAGGCCACGCGCCTCTTCCATTTCAAGGTGACGCTGTGATTTCCACAAGCTTTGGTTTTGGTGGCGTCAACACGGCACTACTCTTCACGCGAGTCGAGAAGGCATTAATCTGAGAAAGAGGCGGGGGAGTTGCGTGCATTCGGTTTGTCGTGTGTTATTTTTTTCACCTTAAATAAAGCAACCTTTTCTCCATTTGGTTCACTCACTTGCATGTGAAACTTCCCCGATATATATATATATATATGTTTGCTGGTTGTTTTTTCCCTCTTTCCTGCCGCACACAGCAATGAACGATAGAGGCGGAAAGGAAGGAATTGACGAGTTACATGCGGAGTTCAGGGGGATGCATTTATGATGATTTCCCACTTTATTTTTGCCGCACACAACCCCACGTTTATCGCATGAGGGGATTTATTTATTTGTGTGTGTGAATTGGATTGAGGTGGGAGTCAACACCGTGTAAATTTTTGGGAGGGGACACGCACGTCCCCATGCAAGCGTGCGTGCATGCATGTATAACATATACACATTCCCTTTCTGATGGTATGCGTGTAATTACCGAAGGATGGTGTGAATACAGTGACATGTATATTCTCTTGTTAATTATTAGTTGTTTTTGGGTCTTTTCTCTCTGAATTCATAAAGAATTCAATGTATGATTTACCTTGTTAACCACATTTCCTTTTTTCTTTTTTCTTTTTTAAATGTTGTTATTGTTGTCTTATTGGGGCCCTCATTGCCGCCAAATAAACAAAAAAAAAAAAAAATAATAAATAAATAAATAAATAAATATCAACAACAAGAAAGGGAAAACAAAAAACAAGTGTAGTTGGGAGGTAACAGACGCAAATGGAAAGACCACCGCAACAACAACAACAACAACAAGAGGAACAACAGTACGGCACGGAGGAATTGGGCGCGATGAATCCGGACACCATCGCCGATGCCTACCAGGGTGAGCCACAGACAGGCGAGGAAGACATCCCGGTGATGGTTGAGACGCGGGTGGTGCGTCTTCACGGGCTCCCGTACTCCGTAAGCGAGGAAACCATTCGTGCCTTTTTTGCGGAATTTGAACTGGATGAAAAGGATCCCATCCTGCACTTCACGGAGGGATTACATCGTGGGACTGGATTCGTTCGCCTGAAGAGACCCGAGGATGTGGAGGAATCCATAAAGAAGCTCCACCGCCAGCATATTGACGCCAATCGCTACGTTGAGCTTACCGCATCGACCGAAGAGGAGCGTCAACGCATATTGGAACAACAAGAGCAGGGATGCAAGACACACGTCCTGCGATTACGAGGGCTTCCTTTTACATCCACAGAGGAAGATTTAAGGGAGTTTGTCAGTTCTGTTCCGGGAGTAACGCGTGTGGATATCTGCCGGGACATGGAGGGACGCAACACCGGGGATGCATTCATTCAGCTTGCCACAGAAGAAGATGTCGAGGAGGCAAAGCAGCTTCACAATAAGACAATGGGCTCACGCTACATTGAAGTCTTGCCATCTACAATGTATGATCGTGACGCCATTATGCGAGCCGCCAGTCTTCGTGCACGTCGTGATCGTCGTGGTACACGTGCTGGCGACAGTCCTTTGGTGGGCCCACGCAATCATGGCAACGGTGTTTCCCCTGGTGCGATGCAAATGCTGGCACCAAACTTTTTTGACCCATTCATTGCGGCTGCGTGCATGGGATATATGCCCCACGTTTCTTTTGGTAATGAGTTGTCACAAAACCCATATGAGCGCAGTGGGATGCCACAAGGAGCGCCTTACGGAGTCCCCGGTGGTCCACAGCCATTGTTTCCGATGTTCCCCGGTCATGCACCGATGGTGGCGCCGCGTGCGCCAAGCCCCCATGTAGTTCGCATCCGCGGTGTGCCGTATGCCGCGACGGAGGAGTCAATCGCGGAGTTTTTTGCGGGGGTGAAGATACCGCCTCAGGGTGTTCATATGGTGTACAATGAGCAGAACCGGCCCACCGGGGAGGCGTTTGTGGAGTTGGAGAATGACTCGGATTTGGTGGCGGCCCTGGAAAGAAACGGTGGGGCGATGGGGAACCGCTACATTGAAGTCTTCCAAAGCAGTGTGGCGGCGATGCAGCGACTGGGGAGCCCACTCACGGGGATGATGAACATGATGCAGTACTCCATGCCGGGGTTGGGTGTTGTGCCGCAGCCGCACTGCTGACGCAATTAAATAAGCGACGATGTCATCATCATCATTACTATTATTATCATTATTATTATTATTATCATTGTCGTTGTATTTTGGCGGGAGCAACAAAGAAGGAACAACAAGGGAACAATGAACAGAAGGGAAAAAACAACAACAACAACAACAAAGGAAACAGGAAAGAAAGAAAAAAAAAAAAAAAGAAAAAAAGAAAAGAAAAAGTGCACCAAAACATCATGTCTCTCCTTGCGATTAAAGAGAACGCGTATCAAAAAAGAAAAAAGAAAAAAGAAAATATGGACTCAAACAAAAGAAGCCGCAGAACAGAAACACGCACACGCACGCAGCAAAAGCCAACAACAAATACAAAAAAGAGGAAAGCCAAAAGGGAACAACAACAACAACAACAAGTCACAGGACCCAAGCGAGACGGAGAGGTGAGGACGAAGAAGGAAAAAAAGGGAGGCGGTGGGGAGCGAAGGGGGGAAGCAAGTGGTGCTGCCTTCTTTCCTTTTGTGTTTTTGTTGTTCTTTTTTTGTTTGCCTTTTTTGTTTTGTGTGCCGTTTTTCTTTTTCTGGATCATTATTTATTTTATTTTATTTTATTATTATTATTATTTTTTTTTTACGCGTGATTTGTGCGGAGTCGACATGGCGCTCATGACATCAGCCGGGGTGTGTGCGGGGGCGGGGGAAAGACGTGCCGAGCTGCTCCCCCTTCCCTTCCTTCCCTCCTCCTGCTCCCCTCCTCCACACTCGTCCCCCCCCCCCCCCTCGCTGAGCGGTGAAAACATGAACCGCACGGGGCGCCTGTGGAGCGACGGCGTGAGGGGGGAAAAAAAAACAAAAAAGGGGGTGGGGGCGAAGGGAGGGGGGCTGCCGGGGACGTGACGACAGGCGTCACGGAAGAGTTGGGTCGATGAAATGTTAAAAATCAACGGGTGGTGGAAAACCGAAGGAATAAAAATTAAAAAAAAAATACACGGAGATGGACTGAAATGCGCAAAAAAAAAAAGAAAAAAAAAAAGAAAAGAAAAGAAAGACTGCTGCTGAGCGTATTGCAGCGACAAAATTTATTGAACAGGGATGCAGGGTGGGGAGGGGAGAAAAAAAAAAAAAGTGTGTGTATATATTTATATAACCATAACTATAACTATATATATATATAGAAGGCTGTAAAGGAAAAAAAAAAATAATAATAAAAAGAAAAGAGAAGGGATAACAACAACCACAAAAAGATGATTTCCAAAAACAAAAAAACGGGGGAATGATGTTGCGGGGGGGGGGGGGAATAAAAAAAAAAAAAGTGGGGTGGGTGGGGTGGAGGGGCATGAGGCACAGGAGCGTGTCTTTTTGCCCACACAGTTATTCACTTGCAATGCGTAGGGGCGTATATCTATTTATCTATGTATCTACATATATATATATATATATGTATAAGTAACCATTTGGTGTGTTTTTCTGTGTGTGTGTGACGGTGGACGCATTCAGGGAAGGGGGGAAATGGGCAGACGGGGGGATGGCGGTGGATTGCAATAATAAAATATAAAATATAAAAAAAAATGTCGGGCGGGCAGCGGAAGCCACAAAAAAAAAAAAAAAAAAAGGAAAAAAAAGGGGTAATAAATAAATAAATCAATCAATCAATAAAAAAAGAGGGCAAAAGACTGCAGGCGGAGGGGGACGGAGTGGCCGTGAAGAGTGCGAAGGATAATAATAAGAATAATAACGAGGATGAGCGCCTTTTTCCGGTGAAGAATTTCATGCATACGCATGCCGGAGGAGAGAGAGAGAGAGAGAAGGCAGGGACGCTAACCGCACCTCCATCGCAGCACGGGCTGCATATATGAAGTGAAGCCATCAGGTGGAACGAATTCGACACTTGACACGTTTTTTTTCTTTTTTTTTTGATGTCATCGTTTTTTTTTTTTTTTTTTTTTTGACGTCCCCGGGTTTTGAAAACAACAACAACAAAAAAAAAAACATAATTTTTTTTTTGTTTCGTTTTTTTTTTCTTTTTTGCCTTTTTTGCCTTTTTTTTTTTTGTTTCGTTTTTTTGTTTCTTGTACTGAGAGTGTGCGGGATGCTGGGGATATTTTATGAATGGGAACTAAGCGTATATACATATATGTATGCGTATGAACACCGAAGCCAAAATGGTTGAGTGTTGGTGAAGTGATGATGATGATGTTTGGGGGGGGATGGTGGAGGAGGGGTGGCGGTTCAACACAACGGAGTGGCATTCCACACTTGCGGTGATGCATTTTTGTGCACCCACCCACACAAACACACACACAAAAGGCACAGACATTTATTTTGTCTTATATTTGCAGCATTCAATCATTTGTTTTTTGTTTTCTTTTATTATTATTATTATTATTATTATTATTATTATTATTGGGGTGTTTGTCTGTGTCTGGCTGTGTGTGTGTGTGTGGGAGGGAGGGCTGCGGGAGGAATTGTTGATTAAATCTTCATAAGCGGCACGTCATTGATTTTGGAATAGCAAAGGGTATGGAGAAGGGGGAGGGGAGTGGAAGGCGGTGTATATATTTATATTTATTTATATGGACATGTATACGGGGTATATGTGCAAATAGATGTATGCAATTACAAATGTGTACATGGAAGAGGGTTGGATGGGTGGCGGGAGAGAAGGTCTGGAGGATATAAATTTCTTGAGGGAAAAAAAAAAAAAAAAGGAAACGCTGTTATTTTCATCAATAAAAGGGCTTTTTTTTTATTTATTTACTTTTCTTTTTTTTTTTTTTTTTTTTTTTCAGTGTGTATTTGTATTTTTGTTTGTTTGCTCCTGCTCCGTTGTTGTTGTTGGAGAAGGATTTGATTGTTTTTCTCTTTCTCTTTGTATGTGAGTGTAGCAGGAGGAGGAGGAGGAGGGGAAAGAGGGAAGGAGGGAGGGGTGATGTATAACTTTTTTTTTGTTTGTTTGTTTGCCCGGCCAGTGATGATGATGATTTTAGGCCCAGCACCACCCACTCTCCTCTCACTTGCTTCTGTTGGGTGGTACGTGCCGCACCTCTTTTTTTTTTTTTTTTTTTTTTTTTTTTTTTTTTTTTTTTTTTTTTTCATTTTGTTGGGGGAGGGAGGGAATTGAGGGGCCCACCCACCTGCCCACCCACCTGCCCACACATACACACATGCGTACGTGCGTACCTACACAAAGACAGAGAGAGAGCCGCATAAATTATTTGAATTGCCCATGCGGGTTTTGTGGGTGGGTGAAGATTGAGGGAGTGTTGGTGGTGGTGGTGGGTTTTTTTTTTTTTTTTTGATTTTCTGTTTGATTTTGATTTTTTGTTGTTATTGTTTAATAATAAAAATAAAAATAAAAAAAATAAAACGGCAACAAAGAACAAACGACGTGACAATCATGTATTTTATTTTATTTTTTTTTTTTTTTTTGGTGCTGGTGGAGACGTTGAGGTGCGGGCTGCTGGTGGTGGTGGTGGCGGTGGGGAGAAGTGTGAAATTTATATTTATTTATTTATTTATTTTTCTGCTTTCGTGGGAGGGGGAGGGGGGGGGTTTTTTTTTTTTTTTTTTGTTTG